GAAAGAGTTATTTGGGATAAAGGTGGGTAGAAGCTGATAGGAAAGTGATTAACAGGTAGAAAGTTGCTGTTTATGGATCACTGATATTGCTGCAGTTAGTCTCAGGATTGAAGCAAGGCAGGACTTGTAAGGAGGAATAACGTCGCCTGCTAGCGAAGTTAATATTGCTGGAGAAACAAGGCAAGCCTTTAGCCATGTGGATCTGAGCTTTCAGAAGGGCTTGTGATCCAAAAAATGCTGTTCCTTCTTCCATCTGTATTAACTGGTGTGACAGAGATTAGTTTTCCCTCCAGCCTTGCCTTTCTGGGGCGGAGAGGATTTGGGATGTTCTCAGAGCCCGAGGAAAGGTTTGGTCCAAAATCATAACCAGCCTCCAAAAGGAGGGTAGAAACAGGCACCCATTAGCAAGGCTGGATGATGCACTGGCAAAAGTGGGCAACACATGCCTTGTCCTCGGGAGCACCACACCCGCTGTGTTTTAAAGTGTGTGCAAGCGTACAAGCAGACTCCTCACCTTCTTCAGGAATTCCTGAGCTGGTGTCTGGAGGGCAAGAAAATGCTCGTTTTAGTGACACATTCAACTCCATCTTACAGGTCCTGTAAAAGTGATCTGGATCTCCTGCAGCAACACGGCAGTGTATGGAGGGCTGTGGGTACAGTGTCCATGTGGGAGAAGATGGGGTGGGCTGGTGGCAGAAATGGGAAAGTCCCGAACATGGTGAATGGTCCTGGGTTGTCAGCAGGCAAAATCAGAGTATGCAGAGAGGAAACAGGTTCCAGGGCAACAAACCTGCAGTATGGCACTGCTGGGCATCAATTGCTTTCTGCCTTGGAGCTGTCCCAGTCTATTCTGTTAATGAAGTGACACAGATTCTATTTATTTTACTAAAAAAAAAAATATATATTTTTTCCTCCTACCACCTGGATTCTTTTGCATCTCTTTATTATATCACCTGCCTAAAACAGAAAGGGCCTTGAAGATGACTTTCTTCCCCTTTCAGATGGCCTGGGTAGTTGAATTAGATAGTCCCAGGAGAGAGAATGTTATCCTGTACCTTGCAAAAGTCCCTGCTGCCCACCCTGCCAGCTGGCTGAGCTGGCTGTGCATGCATTTAGCTGCATTTGAGCCCCCTAAACATCTCTTATGGGCTTCAGACAATAAAATACCTGAGGAAAGACATGGGATCCATGAAATTATCTTTACGGGAGATGGAACTGATTGAGCACAAATATGTCTAGAGCAGAACAACATTAGGGGTGGATTTAAGGTTTTATATTGTTCACATTGAAATTAACTTCCTGAGCTGAAGGGAAGGAGGCTGTTTAAAGTTTGCAGCTTACTTTAAGTTTCACTGTGTAATGTAAAACTTGTCCCACCATGGATATTGGCACGGCTTCAGCTTCTTCCCTCCTCCTTTTCATTTGCACAATGACTGCAGCGCTCTCAAGCTCTTCTAGAGCAAAGCGATTTCAGACCCCTGCAAGGTCTCTTCACCTGTAAGAACTAACCTAGTGCTTGATTTTATTTTTCTTATTTTTTAAGGCTGTTGTAAAGGTTGCAGAATATTAAAACAAAATAGTGCCTTTTTTTTTTTAAGGTAAGATAAGAAAAATAATCCAACTAAGGCAGCCGAGCCCTGAATAGTGCAAAGGCAAGGTGCTCTTTACTTGCAAGCTGCTTTTGCTGTGTACAGTACCTTGCACAATGTGGTTTTAGTCTGTGGGTAGTGTCCTTACTGTTACAAGAATAGTAATGCTGATTCTACCTTTCCTCTGATAAATAAAATGACTGAGTTTTTTCCCCTCCAAAATGCACTTTGAGTGATACTCTAGGTTTGAACTTTATACCTATGTCGGAAGCACCGCTTGCTGGCAATAGTTAAACAATGCAAACGCTGAAGGCATTTTCCAAGTTGCTTGCTGTTTGTATTATTACTGTAGCAACTCACTAAAGCCAGATTTCCAGTGGCAGGCCTCCATGTCTCCCTTAAAGGCTCAATCTGTTTGCCTTGCTCTGCTGGCTGTAAATACCAACACTGGCTCTGTTTGGTTTTTACATTTGCAGGAGAAGGAACTTGCTGTTTATAATTGATTCCCAAGTTGGACTAACTGTGATTCATTGCTGTAGAGGCACAAAAAAAAAAGAACAAAACAATTCCTAACTGCTTTTCAATCAGAGCTGTCTTCACTTTGTGGCCAGGTGGGAGCTTTTTGGAGTATGAGTGTGCTGCAGATCACAGAAACCAAAGTAGCAAAGTGGTTGGGATGATCAAGGTGAAGGGAGCCTCATTTAACTGTTGGCAGTGCAGAGCTTAAAGTTGCCACTCATCCCGCAGCCATCTGGGGCAGCACAGCAATTCCCACAGTCGCTGTTTGATTTGTGCCGACTTGCTTGAACCCAGTTTGTTGCATTGGGAGAATGTGATTTTTTTTTTAAATTTTTAAAAAATTTTTAATTTTTTTTTTCTTAATGCTTTGCTAGGATTTGAAAAGGACTGGAAATCTTTGCTGTAAGCATGTCGAGTGCTGCTGGTTCTTCCCTGTAATGGGTCTGTGCTGCTGTGTGTGGAGGTGTGGGAAATGGCAGCACTGCTGCTCACCCTCACCTCTTCCAGCTGAAGAGCTCGAAGCTCTTCATTAACTGGCCCTCCTTGCTGTCCCTGTGCAGGAGCAGGGAGGTTTCTCCTTCCTACAAACAGGACAGTTCAGGCACCAAGACTTGCCCTCAGGGGGAAGGCAGCTTTTCCCCAGCAGTGCCCAACCCTGTGACCAAAACTCCACCAGAAGTACAGGTCTTTCTAAAAGCTAGATCAGGGAATAGGAAAGAAAAGGGATAGCAGGGATATCAGAATAGTGTTTTTGCGTTCGTGTGCATGTGAACAAGCGAAAATAGTGAATTTCCTCTTTAATGCCCAACTCCTCTGCTGACAGTTGCTCAGGTTTCTTGTGCTGAGTGCCACTTGTCTCCCCAGCTTTGTGCAACGTTGTTGTAGCACGTCACGTATGTGCAGCACAACTTTCCTTAGACCCTCTTACCTCTTGAGTCCTGCAGCCTTGCCTGGCTCTGGGTAGCGTGCGATGCAGAAAGAGCTGTAACATGACGACCATCTGCTGCTGCCCTTCCCCGTGGGACTGCTTCTGTCTAGGCTGGCTCCAGCTGTGCTGCACAAGAATCCTGACTGTGGGGTATAATGTTTCTCCTTGCTTTGCAAATTATGACCAGTCTTGTTGTTCAAGAGATGCTTTGAGGAAAGGCAAAAATGATGGTGCTCCTTGCACTGCCTTTGTGGCTGGTGGAGGTTGTCCTGGCCGTATGGGCCATGTAGTTGAGGAATATCTCTGCATGCTGCTTAAGCAGGAACAGCAAGGGGGATGGATCTGTCTTCAGATCTACCCAGCTGGGTCCTGCTCCATGGGGAGGGCAGCAAGAGGCCATGGGGGAGACTTACAGTGCCTTTAACCCCTTCTTGCATTGAGCTGCAGATAAGGAGTTGGGAGGTTGTTTTGAACTGGCTGTAAAGTAATAGTCCTCTGTCCCCTCCCAGCCTCCGCCCTTGAAGGGACTGTAGGATAGTCCTAAGTTCCACTCTGATATGAAGAGACATGTCCCTTTGTGTGTGTCTAATGCTTGAAGTCTTCCACCAATATCTCAGGGTCTCTTCCTTCAGAGCAGACCCATGGTTTGATGCCCTTCTGGCATCTTCCCCACTAATCAGAGGGCAGTGAGGGCTAAGCAGCCTTTCCCATCCACCGAGGTGATTAGGGTAGACTTACAGCAGGCTCCTTGCCTAATCCCTGGTTTATTTGCTGGCTGAAAAGGAAAGTTGTAACTCGGGTAATAACACTTCTCCTGGGCTATGCCAGCAAAGCTTACCCATCTTGATTTAGAGATCAGTCTGTCTGAAGTCCAAAAGCAAATGCATCCAGGCCTTTTGTGTTGCACCTGAAGGTGTGAAAAAGCACCGGCAAAGAAAAGAGGAGGCAAGTGAGGGAGGAAACCTGGCTGTTGTGCAGGGGAGTGCTGAGCACTAACTTTCTCCCAAGTTCACATACAGAGCTGCTTTTCACAAGGTCTCGGAATGAAATAGGATGGCCTCACTTCATTAGCTTTTTCAATTTTTTTTGTCCTCTAAGGTCCTTTCCTACCAGCCTTGACTATCTCCAGAGCTTTCTTGTCTCCAGACATTGAGACAGGGTGTTTTTTACCTTGGGTGACAAAGCCAAATGGCCAGTCTCCAAACATGCCCTGGACACAGGGAGTTCAAGGTTTCCCCGAGTGTGAAGTTTCACCCAGTGACCTGCTACCTTTTCCTGGTTTTGCTACTGCTTCTGGCTGTCCCCTCCCTTGTACAGGCTTTGGAGTTTGTCAGCCCCTCTACCCTTGAACCAGTTCAACTCACAGATCTTGCAGAACATGGATTTTGTTATTTTTCATGGTAGAAGGAGTTGGTTCAGCTCATGAGGAGTGAGAAGCCTCCCTGTAGGCAGGGAAAGCCATTAGATCTGCTAGAGCTAGTAAGTTGAAATTTGGGAGCAGGCTTCCATTAAGCTGGTTAATGGGTGCATTGACCTAAATTCCTAGGAGAGTAGCTTTAATACATCAGAGTAATGCTTTGTTGCAATCACTTTATTAGCACTTTAAAACTGCTTTTGAACTTGGCTAGTGGATCATGGGGTATAGCAGTTGACTGCTGCACATGCTGCCAGGTGCTAACCTGGCTTTCTGTTGGCTGGGATGTTCTTCTAGTAATGTTTGTGTTGTTTTGTTTTTTTTAACAAAGAAAAAAGAAATGTTGGAGGCAGGTTATTAAAATCAAGAGTGAGGGATCACCTCTGCCTCGGGTGTGCACCACTGTCTCCTACCATAGTGCTGTGATACTGACTAAGAACTTTTACATCCATTGCATGGACTTAAAAACCACTGGGATAAATGCTGAATTTCTTTTATTTGACCTTCCTTGGCTTTCAACTCAAGCTAGCTGCTCTTAAATGCTTCTCTGTAAGCATTGGAAAAGGAAGACTTAAAATATGGTTGCTGAGGGTCTCCTGCCTCATATGGCCTGGGAAAAGGAATTGGAAGGAAAACTAGCAAATAGCAAAAGTGGAAATGGTGTGATTAAAAATTGTAATGGCCCCTACCACAACAAAACTGCATAATGTCAAGTCACTTGCCACAAAAGCACGGGTGAGCATGACTTGAACTGGTTCCTGAAAGTCAAATGCCACGGATGGATGTCATGCTTGAGAATATATGTTCATGCTTAGTGGACTCCACTGGTGCAGGATGGAATTGCACACATGCATATCAAAGTTCAAACCTGTCCCTAAATATCACCTCTCTCTTTTTTTTTTTTTTCTGCTGAGGGTCAAGTTTTCTACTGTCACACTGAATTAAGCCAAACAGTGCTCAAGGCCCATCTGATAAATAATTGTAATGCTCCTGTGGAGTAGCTCCGGGGTGTTTTTGCATGGCCCATAGACTGTCTTCTGAGAAAAAGCTGGAGAGCTATTACCAGGTGTAGGATGGGGGGAGAGGAGGATGGGGAACAACCTCTTAAGAAATGGCAGATCTGGCCTTCCTCCAGGTTAAAGGAAGACCTTTGTGGTTGAACAGGGGGGCGGAGGGGGGAAACTTTACTCTGGTTTCTGCAACCAAAAGGTATGTGGCTAATGAGCCAACTGCCATCCACTTGCAGAACTGCCAGTTCTTTCAGAGTGAATAACACAAATACCTTCATCAATCGGAAGAACCTGGGGCCAAACCTGCCACACTCAGATGCCCGTTGCAGCTTTTTGTGGGCTCACCCCCTCCCTGGTCAGACTGATGTGCTCTGTGGCATTAGAAAGGTGAACACCATGGCCAAGTACTCTCTCCAAACCTCTGTCTAAAGCATGCTGGGGCTCTTCTGGGGTAAGGGAAGGAACAGATGTCACCCTGGTCATTAGCCAGTAATTATTTGCTCAGTTGGAGTTATGCTTCCCTCAGTGGTTTGGGCATAGCTGGGAACGATGGCTCTGTTTGCTGCACAATAAACAAGACTCATCTTTTCTGCCTTTGCCTGGGTGTCTTCTCTGCCATGTTTTCCCAGCTGGGTAGCTCAGGGTTAGGACATTGAAGCGGGCTGTTCCGACTGCACCCAGTAAAGAGCAGTGCTGGACGTCCCCTCTCATTAACTAATGAGTTCTACAGGTTCCTTTGTTCTTTCTACATAAGGTCCTGTGTTGGGGACCTGGCTCCTTGTCAAGAGGCACCTGTGTACAGTGTCCACCTCATGAGTCAGCCTGCAGCCCACCTGGCTGCTCCTTTCCCAGCAGACCGAGTGCAGTGTTTGCTTTATTAGTAATGCACCAGTTGACAAGGGGATGAGTTAGGTGTGTTTTGGCTTTGCCCCTGGTCTGGACTGTGCATTGCTCAATGGGCATGTCCAGTATTGGCAGGAGAGGTGAAGAGACCCACCCCTGCTGCCCTGGTGCCTATTTGGTGGCTTATCCCCTAGGAGCAGACACTGCCTCTGTGGCAATTGAATAATTCTGGGATGATGGAATTCACAGAAGCAGAAAGTCTTGATGAGTGTGTAGATATGGACATGTGATCAGTAGAAATAAGGCAAGGCTTGACCCCTAGATTTGAGGATCTTGGGAGCAAGCTGTAATCCCTGTCCTAGTTTAAGGATGCTCTCAGTACCTGCTGATGTGATAAACCCTGGTATACACCTAGAATCAATTCAGGTGGAGTCAGTGGAAGATAAAAGCATACAGATGATCAGGATTAGGGCTCCTTAAATTACACACTGGGCAGTGGAGAGACTTGGCCAGGCAGAAAGCCTCCAGCTGGATGAGTGATGAACTGAACTGCCAGGGGAAACTGGTCTGGGTTGTTAAGGGTGAGCATAAGAACGATGGTTTTTGGATGTGGTTGGGAAGAGAAGGATCACCTGTTTGGAGCAAATGTCTTTGAGCAAGAGCACATGCCTCCCTTAGCTACTAGGAAATACCCCTTATCACCCAGCAGAAACAACTTTTGTCCCTGAAAGTGCTTGGTGCATCCCCGATCTTGGACAGAAGGCTGCGCCACAGGCTGCGCTGGCGGCAGGCTGTCTGTGGAATATGGGCTTTTATTGATGGTGCTTGTGCCATGTTGGTGCTGCAGAGACAGGCCAGCTGTGTTGCCCTGATCCTTTCTTACATGGTTTTGCCATAGGAAGGATATGGCTGGTTTGGGATGGTGTAGGCTCTGCTCAGAGTGCCCACAGCAGAGAGCGTACCTTGCGGCTGGGACAACTGCAGGTATCTCAGCTCAAAGAGGCAGCCCCAATTCCTTGCTGTCAGCCAGTGCCTCCTGAAAGAGGACTCCATGAATGTCAGGAGTCCTGACATTCTTCAGTCATGTCTGTATTTCCAGGCATTAGCAAAATTGTCCCCTGCCAATCTATGTGCTACTGTGTCGAACAATTAGCCTTTTTAACAATAAGGTACTCGGATCCCTCATCTGAACAGTTGCACTGTAAATACCTCAGTCCAGGGTGCTGTCTGGCTGATTCTTCTCACCTACCACCTCCTGAAAATTAGATGGTTGGACAAAGACCTCCAGTCTCCTGGAGATGTGAACTGTGGCCTGATCTTGCTTTTGATTTTGGCCCTGGTTTTTTGACCCCTGCAAGGAGATAGGCTTGTTCTGTGTCCTTTTTCCTTCTCTGCTGTCCCTGGAGATAACATCTAGGCACTTCAACTGAAGGTTGAAGCTTTGAAGGCTTTGAGTCATGGGTGGGCTGTGGTGGTGCATGCAAGCGTAAGTGGAGCAGTTGCAGGTACCGGTCAGCAACTGGCCCTGATGTGAAACAGAGAAGGTAATTTCAATCTCTTCTTATCCTCCTAGTTGTTCGGCTGTGGCTCCGTTGCACAGATTGTGCTCAGCAGAGGGACTCATGGAGGTTTCCTGACTGTTAACCTGGCCTTCGGCTTTGCTGTGATGCTCGGCATTTTGATCTCGGGACAGGTATCAGGTATGTTGTGGCTCCACGTGGGCTAGATTTCACTTGTGACAATTGTTGTGTAGGCCTAGATGGCCGTGCTTTTCTTGTGTGGCACTGGTATGGAAACCAGTGTCCCTTGGCTCATCTCTGGGACCCAAATTCTGCTGTAAAAGTACAATAACCACCAGCTTCTCTGCAGGTGGACATCTGAACCCAGCTGTCACTTTTGCCATGTGCTTCTTGGCCCGGGAGCCCTGGATCAAGCTGCCAGTTTATGCCCTGGCCCAAACCCTGGGGGCTTTCCTGGGAGCTGGCATAGTCTTTGGACTGTACTATGGTAAGTGCAGAAGCTTTCTGTGTTTGTTGGGGTGAGATGGATGCTCTTCATGACTCACTGAAGGGAGGCTGGTTCCCAAATCACAGAAGCATTTTCTTGCAGAGCAGAGATGCGAGAAAACTCCTTACTGTGTTTCTGGGAGGGCTTTCTTGTTCTCATGATGATGATGATGGGTTCAAATTAATCTAAAGGCCAACCAGCATTGTCAGTGTATGAGTCTTTGTCCTCGAGTAATGACCATTGTAACATGGACCACTGGATGGCCCCTTTTGTAGGTACTATCTGGATTAAAACAGATCTTTCAGAAATGCTGATGAAATGTTAGTAGTAATGGAGACTTTATGTCTGTGTATTATTCCAGATCCGTTTTATCCTTCTTGGTTTAAAAAGAATAAAGACTTGACCAGGATGTCTTCTGCATTGTCTTGTGTTAGCTTCCAGACAATGGGACTTTGAGCAGTTTTTGCTGCCCTTATCAGAGTGATTCTATACCTTGGAAAGCATCCTAGAAATCCAGTTCTTCATGAGTAGTGTCCACCATTCCTCCTGAGTGGTGCTCCTTATCAAGGGGCAATATTCAATGGGCAAGAACTGACTCTTTGTGCTGGAAATTGCTCTTCCTCAAATATCAAGGCTGACATTTTGACTCACAGTTTGCCTCCTGATGTCTGTTTCTGGCAATAGAAGCAGTGTTCTCTGTAGCTGAGCAGAACATCTGGGTCACTGTAGCTTCCACCTGAAGGGAGGAAACTGCCACCCCAGCACTAGCACCAACTGCTTTTCACTTTAGAAAGAAGCAGGGGGACCTACCTTCATCTCTGTAAACATCAGGACTCCAGTTCAACACCAGTTATCTTTCTAGTTGGTGGGCTGAAGTCTCCTCTTCAGAAGAGTTAATCCCATCTTAGCTGCCTAAACCATCGAAGAGCTACCTTCGGCAAGTGTGTGTTTTTTTCTCTCCACTAACCATGGAATCTAGACAGCCCACCTAGGTTAGCTATCCAGCTTCTACATAGTGGAAGGCAAAGGGCTGACTGCTCTACAAGACAACCCTGAGAGGTGAAACCGATTGTGTATTGGCTTAGAGGAAAGTGCAAGATCAGCCCAAATCCTGTTTGCTGCAGATCAGATCCATAGCAATATCTCATGTCTTGGCACCAAGATTGATACCACAGGCATTTGGGTACCTTTTGGGAGAGATTTGGAGTCAGCTTAGTGTTTACTTTTTGGCCCTAACTCTTTCCTGGTGCCTGGCAAACAAGAAATATTAGGAATAGGGAATCAGGCCATCTGCATCTGAGCCTGACTGGTAAAATGCTGTAGTGGATCACACCAAGTTTTCCAAATGAGCACTCTATAGCAAATGGTTTTGTCACACATAGCAATTGGGTGCTCAGGGAATTCTGCCTCAATACTCATGGCTCTGTGGAGCCTACATTTTAGTCATCTTCCAAGCAGGGTCCTCTCTCTGATGCGTGTTGGAAAATGACTGGTCTCTCTACCTTTCTTTTTTCTTCTCCCCCCTGCCTCTCCCCCTCCCCCTGCCTCCTCTAGATGCCATCTGGGCTTTTGGCAGCAACCAGCTGTATGTAACAGGACAAAATGGCACTGCTGGTATCTTTGCCACGTACCCATCTCAGCATCTGAACATTGTGAATGGATTCTTTGACCAGGTAAGAGGGTGCTGGGAGGATGAAGGTGCATTTGAAGAGGAATCTTTTGGAGCGGTTCTGGGCCTCTCCTTTAGTTAGAGAATGAATTGAAATTTAAAGAGAAGATACCCAGTAAAGTTTTTAGAGCTGACACAGGTATCTCCCTAGCCCATAGGAAGAGCAGAGCTAGAAAGCACCCTTACAGCAGGAAGGCTTGTGTTAAGGGGATTAACCAATCGCACGAGACTGGCCAGGACACCAGTGAAAAGGATACCACTTGGTCTCAGCCCCTGAAGAGCGATAGCTCTTCAGTGCTATCACTCATCGAGTGAGGATGGTTCTTCCTCACTCCCACTGTACTACTGTGGCTGTTGCACAACCCAGAGGTCAACTGGCTGTGGGGTGTTGGAGGTGACTGTGTCCTCCTTAAAGTTGCCATCAACCACAAAGGGACAGTAGTCACCCAGCTGTGGCAGGTTGGAAGCATGTTCAGGAAGATGTCTTCAGCTTTTCTGGCTGCTCAAACAGTTATTCATAGTTCTTTTGCGGGTAGGGGAAAAGGTGTGGGCTTGATTGACCCTGTGGGCTGCCAGGAGGAGCACATTCCACTCTCCCATTCCTGTTGGTGCTCAGTCTACTGTGGTCTGATAACGCAATGGGATGACTTAGTGCAGCTCTTTCAGTTTAGAGAATGAGTCCTAAATGCATGGGACTTCATTAAATAATTTGGTTAAGAAATTAATCCAGATTAATCTTTTCTTCTTCTTCCCCCTCCCTCCCCAGTTCATTGGCACAGCCTCCCTGATTGTTTGTGTCTTGGCTATTGTTGATCCTTACAACAACCCTGTCCCCACGGGGTTGGAGGCTTTCACAGTTGGCTTTGTTGTCCTCGTTATTGGAACCTCCATGGGCTTCAACTCTGGCTATGCTGTCAACCCTGCCAGGGACTTTGGGCCTCGTCTCTTCACAGCCATCGCTGGCTGGGGCACTGAAGTGTTCTGGTAAGTGCTTGCCAATGAAAACCTTGTGCATCAAGGGGAAAAAATATTACAAGTCCAAGTAGGTGGTAGCTCTGGCATCATAAAGAGTCTTAGCACCCATGAGGAATCTTTGGATTTTATAAACATTTTTAAAAGACACTGTTTGCTCTGCTCTGATTTCTTAAGAAATCGTAGAAGCTCGGCAGTTTCCAGCAGTGACAGCAAATGACCTAACTTTGCTATCAGGGAAGAAATTTAAAAGCATCCATGAGAAGTTCAAGTGCACCTTGAACATGAGCCTATCATCATATTTTTAGCGGTAGAAAATGTACGGCATTTGTTATACTTGGATTTTGTTGTTGCTGGAGAAAATTAAGAGAGCCATGAGCAGTACAGACTACGTGCTGTTAAGGGATGCTTTCCTGCAAGCAGTGGGAGTGAAGTGAAGGTGCCTACTTCAGGCACTGCAGCTGCTTCTCTCCTTTCTTGATGGAGAGACAGTCTTGGAAGTCCTGGAAGTAGCTGTTCTGAATTGCTTGTCACCTGAACTTGCAGTGGGGGGCAACTGGAAATTGCTGCGGACATGCGGGTACTGTTGTCTTTTGCAAGTCAATGATGATGTTTGGAGATGACCAGATCTTGCATTGTTCCAGATCCAAACATGAATATCCTAATGCGTAGGATGCAGTTCTTACCTTGTATATTTTCTTTTTGTTTTCCAGGACTGGTAAACAGTGGTGGTGGGTTCCAGTTGTTGCTCCTTTTCTTGGGGCTATTGCGGGTGTGATGGTCTATCAGCTGATGATTGGATGTCATGATGAGCCTTCTCCACCTGCCTCTGAGCAGGAAACAGTCAAGCTGGCTAACGTGAAGCACAAGGAAAGGATCTGAGGAAGCTGCCACCCAGATCTGGCAGACATTCATTACTCAGGACTGCAGCTGGCGAAGAGGAGGAAGGAGTTAAGAAGAGCTTCAAGAACAACAGGAAGATTTCCCCCCCCCCACATCTTGAGATATTGTAGTGCGCTTTTTTGTGTATATCCCTGATGCATTTCTTTAGGCATTTTCCTGTGAGCCTTT